GGATATTGAGGTGCTCATTCTTTTATTTTGCACACTAAACTTTAGCTTTTTGTATAAAGCTACTAATATTAGTCTAAGTTCTTTAGAAGAAGAAAAATTAAGAGTATTTAGTTACATGTCTATGAGGCTCTACCAGCCTGCAGGCCAGGGGCCAAGTTAGCCTCACTGCCTTAACAAGTGGCAATCATTTTGTGCTTTCAGGACAAAAAATGCTTCTAATGACAGTTAGTTATTGTTTTACATACTGTATACAAATGCATCAACTTTCATATTGCAGAAGGCATGATAGATGTTATGAACTTAATATTTCTTTTTTAAAAATTTATAATCTTTGATAATTTTTTACATTACCATCAATTCTATAAAAGGAAAACTTTGTACCAGAGTAGTGCAACTTGTAGTTCTTAAAAAGTTATTGAATTTAATTTTTAAAAAAACATTTTTTTAATTTTGTATTATAAGATATTCTAGTCTTTTCACAGCATTTGGAAATATTTGTCTTTTGAGCTAAATTATTTCTTCAAAGTAATGGTAAATGAAATGAATTTTTTTATTCTCTTTTTTTTTTCTTGGCAGGGATTTAGATGTGGTTTTTTATCCGTAGCATGAACAAAAACTTAGAGAGCTTGACTGGTGGGAAAATGAATTTGACAAGTAAGTTTTCTCTTTATTAGTTGTTATTTTAAATTCAACTTTTTTTAATCAAAATTAAATAAACCAGGTTTGTAATTTCTTACAATTTTCTTTTAATTGTTTGTTAGCTTTGCAAGAGATGAAGTTATTTACTTAATTTTTTTTTATATTACTTTTTTATAAAATCAATTCATTTTAAAGCTTAAACTTTCCTTTTTATCCCTTTCAGAAAGTTTAAATATCTTTTTTGAAGTTGAAATAATATTTTTATTTTATAATATCTAAACTTATTAAGAGTTTTTGATTGTTTGTAAAGAATACCATTTTTAAAAGGTGGTATTTCATTGTAATATTTAAAACCTTATATTTATTGGAATTTTTTTTTCCGGGTTAAATACCTGAAGTTTTAAAAACTTAAGAGTATAAACAGCCATTACTTACAAATTGTATTTCTTCTCTAATAATGAAATTCAATAAATTTTTTATAGTCTTTGGATATCAGCACAACAAAAAATAGCAATCTTGGATATATAGAGCTAATGACTGAAAATGAAGCTGCTAAGTTATTAAGTAGCAGGTAAAACCTTGTTTTTTTCTAAAAAAGTCAATTAACTGTTTATTATATCTAATTTTAGCTTAATTTTAAGCTGTATATTTTATCCTAGTTTTTGTAGTTAAGTATGTAAATTTTTTTTTTGTTGTTACTGAGTAAAGATGGAGCTGCTGAGTTATTAAGTAGCAAGTAAAACACTGTTTTTACGTAAAAAAGTCAATTAACAGCTTTTTTGTATATCTAATTTTAACTTACTTTTAATAGTGTATATGTTAATCTAGTCTTTGCACTTTTTATCCCATCTTGATAAATTTTCATTTTTGTTTTCTTTAAGATATCTTTAACTGTCTTTTTTTTTATCTAGGGAACATCCAGCATTGTTAAGTGATGAGGAGGCAAGAGAAGTAGTATTATTTTTATCTAGATCTGATGAAAGTCATTAAGATGTGGCTTAAGAAACATTAAATGATAATTGCAAGAAGGAGGTATTGAATGTCACATTCACTCAAGGCGAATTTGATTCTACGCTCATACATGATGGTACAGAGTATCATTTTCTTGAAGATGGCCACTACTATTTCGAATGTCCTGGTTTATCTCCTCCAGAGATTGAAGATAATTGCCAATTAGAACCTGTGAATGACGTACCTGATCCTGAACACCCAATTCGTCGAACTACAAAAATATCATTTAGCACGAATCCAATTAAAGTAATTTCCTTTTTTCTTCTGTTAATTGGTTACTTTTATCTGTTATGTGAGGAATTTTCGAACTTCTTTGGAAACTTTTGTTCATATTAAAAAAGAGGGCGCAATGCAAAATTGCTTAAAGATTTAAAGTAGATGTTAAGTTGAGAGCTCTTATAATGATATCATTCCTATGTTTGCTCTCACATAAATTTTTATTTATAATCAAACTTTTAGGGACCCATAATCACTGTCTTAGCAAATTATTGAAATAATATTTACATGCCCGGCTTGTAAAAAAAGGATATATGCCCAATTAGAATCCCTGAGATATGCCATGCTATGTAATTTTCAAGCCCTGGTACCTACCCATTTTTACTATAGTTATTGCTATGTGTAGTGAATATATATATTTATAAAATTTTCTTATTTAAAAATTTATCTTTGTTTGAGTCACAGATTGATTGGTTTTAATATAGCAAGAATAATATTGATAAAATAAATTTTAAAAAGAAACTATAAATTTTTTATGGAAAAAAATTATATGGCAAAAGATAACTTACGATTAATTTCTAACTTATGAGTTTTATTTAAGAATTTCGGTGTAAAAATTGTCTAATCATTTTTCTAATGCTTTTGAAGTATTCTGAGTTCATTTAAATAGCTTAGATGTAAAGTTTGCTAATTACTGTTTAAATGAAACATGCGAAATAGAAGAAATGTTGTAATAAACCATATAACAAAGCATAACTAGAATTTCCTTTTAAAATTTGAAATATTAGGCAAGGCTCCAAAAGTGCACTGTATTGTTCTGCATATTATACAACTAACTTTAAGCTGGTAATGGTATCTGTTATCAGTTGAAATACTTTAGTATAATTGCATATCACGCCTTTAATTTAATATAGAATGGATTTTTTCAACCTTCTTTCAAACTAACTTAAGGTTTCTGATATTTTCTATCCAATATATACATCATTTTTAAGTAAAAGCCAGGAGTAGAATTCTTAACGATCAGCCACCTGTGGAACTTGAGCCAAGGTCACCCTTTTGGGAGGAAAAGCCCTCTATCCCCTGAATCAGCGAGACTTATTGTCTAAATGCATAATTTTATCCATTGTAGGTAGCAAGCTTCAACAAAAAAAAATGTGATATGAATTGTTTTTACATTTACAAAATCCGAAACAAAGCATAACCCATATTAATCGTTAGCTGCCTTTCTCTCACAAAAATATTTTCGTTAACTCATTGCTCAAACTAAAATTGTAGCCAAAGTAAGATCTGCAGAATTTTTGACAAGTTATAATTTTGTCTCCAATCATCAGACTGTTGTGTGAAATGGTTTTCAACATGCCAAAAAAAATAGATTATGACTGAAACTAGCTTTACTTTTTTAACGATAACTAAAAGATTAAATTTTACCTCCAAACGCTGGTTTATAGTAGAAAAATTTAACCTGCGATAGACAACCTATTGCAACAAAAATATCGTTGTGGTTATTTTTTCCTAATTTTTCATAGATATTCCTTACATAACTGAATCAGTAATCTAACGAAGGAATTAGCTTAACTCACTTGCTATTTTCGTTAGCTCAGCAACAACAACAAATTATTGCTGAAACAATATTTAAAGAATTTTTACTACTAGTTATTTTCAAATAACTTATAAATGTATAACCTAAAATGGCTTAAGCACAGGCGTCTGATGGATAACTATGATAGACGTAATATGGCTAAAATATGCGGTGGACCTTAGGAGACGTCTACGAAACAACTATCTAAAAACGTCTCTTAGAAGGATTCTCGTAGTCGAAATTTAGACGTAGGATTGAAGCAAAATGAATAACTTGATGAATAAACACATTTAATAACTCCTATTAACAATTTATACAATATGAGTTTTAGTTAAATTCAGCATCAAATATTTATGCGTACAGCAACAAAAAGAAAAAACTCGCCAAAAAGCAATTCTAAAATAAGGAATGAAAATGAATGTTAAAAATTGCTATCTTTTTTCTAGGTTCGCATAAACAATACTTATTTTTTACGTAAGTTCAAATGACTTGCTTTAGTTCATTTTATGTTCTCATGGCAACGATTGCTTTTGGTGTTCTAAAATTTTAAATGTTTAAAGTAAGTTATGCTACTGAATCCAAGATTTTTTTGAATTAAATGTGATAAATAAGTAATTTACTGGAATAATTTATTTTAGGAGCATCATTTGAGCCAAAATACCGTTTCATGGAGTTATCTCCTTGAAATTAAGTTTGAAAAGTAAGTGTTTAGTATCTGTTGGTCTATATTTGTAGTGTACGTCTATATTTGTAGTATAAACTCGAACACAATATCAAAAATTATTTCCTAAAGCTTACAGTGATTTTGATAAAGAAGAGTCTAATGTATACAGTGATGACAATGATAATTTCAACAACCCTCACAAGGTTAGATCATTATAGGCTATCGTTAATCTATCAAAACTTTCTGTTTTTTCGAACGTTAAAAAAATGACCAAATCAAGTTATCGAATATCTGATTATTTTACTAGCTAGAATTTAGCTAGAATTTTGATTCAAACGTTAACAAATTTTGGAGCATCGTTATGACACTCGTCAAAAAGTAGTGAAACTGAGGTTTCGGTTGATTCATAATCTAAAAACCAAAAGTTTGAACTTTGTCTCCAAAATGTTAGCCTATTGTAGAAAATTATTAGCTCACCAAATATTTTCGTTTGCCTAAATATGGCCATTTCGTTATTAAAAGAAAATTATGGCCATTTCTCAAATATACGGTGATGAATTTGAAATCGTTGGCAGTTAAATTCTTTTAAAACGTCCATCTGTCCGTGATAAATGATATTGGTTCAATTAGATTATTAAATAAGAGCAATAGGAAACTAACACATATTCCTCGATTGAAAAAAACGAAGAAATATTTTGAAAAATTTTTAAATTTCAGTATTAGTATTTATTCGCTTTTAGCTTTATTACTTTCGCATGTCGTTCATAATTCATGCATTTGTCACCTCTGCGTTAAGCTGCTTGAAAATATTGATTCCCCAATATGGAGAGAAAAAAATTTGTCGTGTAGGAATGAACAGAAGAAATAAACCGACAGTCAATGCCTAACAAGTAAACCTCTTTCATGAGAAAAACCAATTTGGCAGAGACAAGAAAATGACCTGACTGCGAAACATCAACTCAAAAAAGAAACTAAAAGAATACTTTGATAGAATTAGTGTAAGAGTAAATCTAAAAGAGTCACCAAATAGTATGATATCCATACACGATTGAAACTGAATCAGAAAAGATTTCGAGGAAAATTAAAACTCTTACAAATAAAGGTTAAGCTGAAAACATTAAGAACCATACGTAATTTTCATCATCGAATCAAAGAGTACGAGTATAAGTGCAAAAGGGTAAAAATATAATTGAGGGTGTCTCTTGGCGAAATTGGGATCTTATGTTTAGCGCCATTCCTATTTGCGCGGAACACCGTGGTAACAGGAATGGCGGCCACAGCATTATGATATTTCAGTAAAGTATTGGAAAATTTCAACAAAACATCGGATAAAGCTTGCAATGAACCCAATATAAGCAAAATAAATAAATCCAATAAAAAGGATTTTGAATCGAAACAAATATTAATGGAGTAGTCGCAGAAAGAAAAGGAAAAAAAAAACTCACTTCTTGATTAAGCTTAAATATTCTCAGATTTAGGTGCACAGAATTATCTAATAACAGTTAGATACTATCTAAATTTATCATGAATAGAATCTGTGTATCTCCATCGCCACATAAATTCGACGAAATACGAATCGAAAATAGCGTCTATAATACCGGAATAGCGGTGACATTTTTTTCTTAAATCCCTTTTTATGACTGCCCACATACCTTCGATCTTATTGACCAGATTCAAAAGTAACCTTACCAGCCGATATCCAAAGTAGAACTAACGGACCTCTGAAATTCCATACCGTTGAACATTTAAAAATTACGCTAAAATCTTAACCAATCAGAATCACGATTGGGTTTCAACATCGCCCAGCAAAGCGATCAACCGCGATCACAACTTGGCGAGAATCAAGGGGTACCCTCAAATATAGTCTACCCAAAATTATTGTACTTGAAAATTGAAAAGCATTGGTGTTAAACGATTTTAATTGTAGAGAAAAGTGATTGTGTTCCTAAATAATATTTTAAAGTTATGTATATAAATAATTAAAAAGATTGTTGGACCTAATTTTGTGAAGTTTAAAACTGTTAAGTACTATTTTGTTTAGTTTCAAAACTAATCAAGATAAGATAAAACAAAGCATTTTGATTTTTTTTAAAAAAAGATCTAATTAGCTTCAGTCTTTAGAAATGGCTATATATTTTTAAATAGGTGCTTTCGTTGTTTATATTTCTTGTGAAGTTAAATTATAGTATTTATTTACATTCTAATCTTTTTTTTGAATATTTTAATTTGATATCTAAATTGATGAGCAAATGAATCGTTTACCAATGCTTACTGCTTGAGTCTAAAAATAATTTAGTAATTTTAAGTTTTAGAGTTTAATATTGTACAGCAATTCTAGTTTAAAAAAATCGTGTGTCGCATTTAATTTGATATTTAGAAACTTTAGTTTAATGTGATATGTTTCAATTGCATCATAATGCATTGATTTCAACCTAAATTTTGGAGAAGTAGTATGTACATAAATAAGTTCATAAATAACTGTTCCTTTGTTTTCTCTGGAGATGTTCTTCAAAGGGGAGAGGAGTTATTAAGTGTAAAACAAAATCTGGCTAACACAAGCATGAAATTAAAAAAAACACTTAAAGAGATCACACAAAATAAAAGAACAAGAGAATTTATGGAGAGAGGTTTTGTATTTAAGATTCATACGAACCGGTTGCATGTTNACATGTTTTTCCATTTATTTTACTTACGGTTTTTTTTTAAATATAATTTAGTTGATGTGTGCTTGGAATGAGTTGTTATAAAAAAAAGCTGTTTATTTAATGTAGTTTGATTCGTTACAGTACCCGTGCACGTCTTCCAAGATGCTTCAGTAACTGGAGCCCGCTATTGTACCAAGGTTCTTCTTCCTCAAGGGCGTCTTTTTAAAGGTGCTGTGAGTGCATCTTCATGGACGATAATGTTTACACCTTTTCGTACAGTGGCTGTCACAGAGCTGTTTGAGAGAGAAGATATTGGACGCATGGAATGGCCGACGAGGTCCCCGGATTTTAAGGCAATTGAACATGAACACGTGTGGGACGCACTACAGCAGGATTGGGCAGCAATTTCTCAAGAGGTTCTCAGCAACCTGGTCCTCATCATGTGCAGACGATGTCAATCCTACATAGATGTGATCATTACTAGAGGTTAGAATTTTATTGTCAATCCCGTGTAACATTGACGTTTTGGTCATTTGTATAATTATGTTTTTAGCTTAAGTAGGGTAAACCAACCAGTGAAGAAACACTACCCAGTGAAGGAACATTTCATATATATTGATTAAGAATAAGAATTTGAAAGTATTGCTTTAGATTGATTGGCAGCAATAGCTTACTGCCAAACAATAGGAAGTCATCTAGCAATGTTTTGGATTGCCTGGTCAAATAGACTTCTCTGGAGAAATTTTTGAATTTGTTATTATCTCTGCAACACCTTGTTTCTTCGAAAAAATTATAAGGGAAGTGTTTGTAATAATATGCTTGAAGTGGAATTAATTGCATACAATAGTTTTATTTTTCTCACTGGGAAAAAGAGAATTCAAAATATAGTTATTGAAGTTACGTTTTATTTTTTTAAAGCATCATAGCATAATGAAGTACTGAGATAAGGGGGTGTTTATTCACTGGATCACCAAACGATGAAAAACCAGTGAAGGAACAAGTGTTCCTTTACTGTTTTTTCTTCTAAGTTAATGAAAATAAAAGGTAAACAAATGGCCGACGAGGTCCCCGGATTTTAAGACAATTGAACATGAACAGCACTACAGCAGGATTGGGCAGCAATTTCTCAAGAGCTTCTCAGCAACCTGGTCCTCATCATGTGCAGACGATGTCAATCCTACATAGATGTGATCATTACTAAAGGTTAGAATTTTATTGTCAATCCCGTGTAACATTGACGTTTTGGTCATTTGTATAATTATGTTTTCAGCTTTTTTTTAAGTACCTTATTGTTCCTGTGGATTACATTTTCTTTTTCGGCAAGTTGTTTACTTCCCCTTATTCTTACATTTTCAGGATTCTATGGTATGATTTTTATCAATTTTCAGTACTGCTGTTCAAACTTACATTCTAAATACCACTTTGTCCTTAATTTTTGCACACCAGTGTAATATAGTTTTATGAATACCGTAAATCATATAATTCAGATGTTGTAAAACGATGAGGCCTGTCCTATCGAAAGATAATTTTAAAATGGTCAGACTTGAAATAACCGGGAGAATGCGAGAATATATCCTTTTTTTTTTAATTTCAAAATAAAATTCAAACGAATAGAATCTCTTATTAAAAATAAATAATTAAAAAAATATCGCAGTGCACTAGAAAATTTCGTAACTCCGTAAAGTTTAGATTGAAAAAGTTTTATCCAATTTTTGACTAAAACAACCTTCTAGCCAACTTTTGATGAATTTGAACAATTTTTGAAGCTATGTGTGTTTGTAAGACAACACTTCTTCAGGGGATAGCACTTCTATTCCAATTGCAAGTCTTCGTTTACTTGAAATTATATTTCCAAGAAGTCATTGAATGCTTTTTTGAAAGTTTTTATGAAATGTTCAGCAACAGTTAATAATGTGTACCTCACTAAAACATTAAACAGTGATGAATCTCACAGGTTTTTGATAAACAACTTAAAAAAAACTTTTAACAACTTTTTTCGATAATTTAAGTTGAAAATTACGAGGAAATAAATTTTTAACGAAACATTTTTCTTTTTCAAAATTTTTTCAATACCTTTTTTTTAAAACAAAAGGTATTGAAAAAATAACCTTAAAATTCCTTAAAAAATTCATCAATTATACCCTCCAAAAAAAAAGAGAAACTTATAAAAATTTAACCAGTTGGAAATTATCCTGACAAAAGTAATCAGAATTAAACCTATGTACACAGATAATTTTATTTATGTAAAATTATTGTTTAAACAGTGGTCAGTGTTTTTAAGCGATGATGGCTTATTATTATAAAAGGTGAAAGAGGGCATATGAAAGGATAGGTAGGTCAGGATGCCCTTCTAAAAAGGCGTAGGGGCGAACACTGCATACATAAAAGAATAATGAACTAATAAATGACTTCCTTGTCCTTAAAATTTTGATGATCATTTGATTTTTATGTTTATTTATTTTTGAAGCACAAATTTTACTGACTATACTGAAATGTTTTAGTTTAAATAGAATTATTTATATTTAGCATTTATGCTTGTAAACGTGAACTATTCCATTAAAAAATATTTGAATATTTCTAAATTTATTGATATTGTAATAAAAAAAACTTTTATTTTTAGTTTAAATTTTATGCTTTTGTATTTTTGTGATAATACCGTTTTTCCAATGCATTCTAACTTGCAAGCTAGGTTTTCTTAATTTTCTTCTTTTCTCTTTTCGCAAAGATTAACAGCGAAGATTATGGAGAAGCATTGGCTCTTGCTCAGACCTCTTATTTAGATACTGATCTTGTGTACCAGTGTCAGTGGAGAAAAATGCCACCTACTGTTGAGACTATTCATGATTATTTGGTAAGACTGACATTATTTACCTTCAAATTGTTTCTCTATTTAACACATTATAAAGTATTTATCATTATGTTTTACAGGAATCGTCGTTGAACAATGAGTTTTTTATAATCTAGTTAGTATAAATCTAACATTTCAGTACTAGGTACTCTTCTAAGGATGTAGATCATCTTTTTCTCTTTCAGAAAACTTGATCGATTAAAAAGTTTTAAAGAGCGCAGAAGAAGGTTTTTCATTGGATCATAACAGCTTGAGATTATGCTAGAAAATAGAATTAGTGAAGAC